ACACACACACACACACACAAAACACACACACACACACACACACACACACACACACACACACACACACAAACATACACACAAAACAAACAAGCAAACAAAAAGGAAAAGGGGAGGGAACGAAAATGCAGCATGACAACGGCCCCCCTAAGGCCGGCGACGATCCGAAACTGAATCTGACGGTATAAACGTCAAAGGAGGTACGCGTGACGTTTGCTAACGAAGAAGATAGGACTGAAAGAAGGAAAAAAAATAAATTACATTCAACGCGAAAAATAAAAAAACGAAAAAGACTTCACTTGACGAAGCTGGCATTCTTTCCCCCGCTTCTTTAATTGCGCCCTTTGCCCCCACTTCCCGCCCCCCCTTCCCCCCCCCAACCAAATCATCATCGCATACGCGTTGCCGCCCAACTCATGAAGTGTCGCGCAACTGCCTCTCCCACAATCCCCCTCATCCGTCCGTCTTGGGTGACATCCGAGTAATGGCAGTCCAGGGAAGATGAGTCGAAGTAAAAGGGAGCTTCCACCTGCCAGCTGTCATAATACTGAAAGCCAGCCACATCGGCGGCGCGCTTTGCGAATTCGTTAGCTAATCTCAATCCTGCGTTTGTTCGTCCCAAGGGCGGTCGATACGTCTCCCCTTTGCCATTCCCCCTTCTCCTCCAGGGGGTGTAATTTCTTGCATACTCAAATAACCCCCAACGACACCCCCATGTCCTCACATTGAAGGCCGTCGTGCTTCTCCACACCAACCTGGACCCTTCTTGATCGGCCAGCCTCCTCCCCCATTCCAAGTAATCCGGCAGGTATCTCGCATAAGCCATCTCTGGTTCGCGGCAAAAAGTGTAAGTCCAGTGAGCGGAGTTGAAGACGAACAGCCCTCCCGAGGGGAGATGGGGCGTCGTCCTCCGTCGCTCGAAATTCGCCTCGACAGGGCAGCCATAGCTCCCGCTGCCGTCCCAAAGTCCGGGGACAAAGATGAACCGTAGCGTCAGATTAACCCTCCTACCTCCTCCCACCACCGACACGTCGCGCGACAGGTCGTTATGTGCGATCCTCTCCGAATACTTAACGCTGCCCGTCAACAAATAAGCCACGTGGTGATACAGCCGTCGGTTATGCGAGTCCCCGACGAACGATATCTCTCGGATCCCCTTCGCCGCCATCGCTTCCACGAACCCGACCGCATCTACCTGCTTCGCGCAGTCGAAGAACTCCCAGCGATAGCCGTTCGTCTTCCCCTTCCCGTCGTCGTCGTCGTCGTCGCTGTTGACGTCAACATCGTCGTCGTCGTCGTTGTTGTTGACGTCAACGTCGTCGTCGTTGTTGATGTTCACGTCAACATCGACGTCGTCATCCTCCTCGTCGTCATCGTCGTCGTTCTTGTGCACGACGTCGCCGTCAGCATCATGATCATGATCATCATCATGATGATGGCCCTTGTTTGGCGGGGTGAGGGGAAGCCAGCGACCAAAAAAGCCTCCGTCGCAAGGCGGCAATGCCGTCCGAGGAGAGGGCTCGTCTTTGTACACAGTCAGCCGGAACCGGGCTATGGTGTTCGAAGCCTGGTCGTGTGCATTCTTGATGGGAATGGAGAAGAGAGAGCCGTTGATTCCCGGTTGAGGCGGGATGGCACATTCAGCGTAGACAGACACACGATAGACGCCGGCATCGAAGGGGGTATAAGACACCGACCATTCTAATCCACTGCCAGAGGAGGTGACCGGAAGAGCCGCCCCTTCCAAGAGCGAAGGGCCATCTATCTTCACCATCAGCTCCCTTCTCCTCGTCAGCTCACTGTCGTGCCAAAACGCCCCTGATGACAATCTTATGTCGAAGCTGCAAGTGGATCCCGCATAACACGACCGACATCCCACCCCTACTACCTGAACTCGAGTGCCGGTGGCCCCGCCACGTGGCATACCATCAAGCAATCGAGAAGCCGCCATCGACGACGATCGATCACCAGCAGAACGGCCAGCAGGAGGAGGATCAGAGGCAACGACATCTGAAGAGGAAGAAGAAGCAGCAGCAGCAGCAGCAGAAGCAGAAGAAGAAGAAGAAGAAGAAGAAGAAGAAGAAGCGGCTGTTAAGGACATTGCAAGAGAAGAGGAAGAATCGTGGGTCGACAAAGAGATGTCCTCCTGCTGCTGCTGATGCGGTGGGTTGGACTCTCGATTCTCTATGTCCCGCTGAAAGAGTGCAGGCCCATCCCAACATACAGAATGTGGAGGAGGGGGCGGAGAAGGAGTAGGAGGAGGAGGACGAGAAGCAGAATTGCTCTCCGCTGGGTGCAGAGACAAGATGTAGATCACAGAAATCGACGCCACGGAGACCAGGGAGAGAACGAGAAAGGTGCGCACAAGGACCCGCTTTTCTGCTTCCATCTCTGACGGCCAATTCAATTGCAAAACCACCACGCCCGCGCGCCCTCCGCCACTGTAATTCCTCCCATGCAAACACTCTACCGCACAACCCAAGCTGGTCCTGGTCACGACGATGCTTAGACGAAGCTTAATCGATAGTCAAACGCCACAACCTCCCTGTCAACCCAAGCTGTTGGCTTTTCCGTAAACCACAACCTTGCATGCACGATCCCGCGGACGGACACGTGTAACACGACGATGAACCCACACGTGACACGTGACACGTGTAACGCTGGGCGTCGCTGGCCAAAGGATGGTTAGATGATGGTTAATTTAAACGATGCTCAAACGATGGTTAATGTAAAAGATGGTTAATTTAAACGATGGGTAAAAAAAATTAAACGATGGTTAATTTAAACGATGGCTAACAGCGTAAACGTAGGCAACAGCCGGCGCAAGTGTGACGAGGGAGGACATCGGAATCTTTTCTTTGCCTACTTACTGCCGGCAATGAAAGAACACCCCCCTGCCCACCTTTCCGTTGGTAGCGGCCAGGTAGCCTCGTGTGTAACTAAATGCCTACGTGACGGCATGGAGACGACCGTGCCGTCGTGTGCAGTGCAGTGGTTGTTGCATGCTTGATCGACCGGTCAACGAAGAACCGAACGGAACAAAGACCAGACAAATCGAGCGCCTAAGTCCGTGGAATGGTGAAAATGCATGATGGATCGTGTACATTACAACCAGAGAAGAGGGAAGTCAATTCACACACAGCCAAGGTGAATCCCCCAGCTTCTGCTTCTCTCTCTCTCTCTCTCTCTCTCTCTCTCTCTCTCTCTCTCTCTCTCTCTCTCTCTCTCTCTCTCTCTCTCTNTGTGTGTGTGTGTGTGTGTGTGTGTGTGTGTGTGTGTTACCCTTGCGGGCCTCACTGGACAGTTCTGGTGATGTGATCGGGGTTCTTCCCTTTTGCACGCCGTTTCTTTCCCGCAACATTTCGCAGAAGTGAGCGCCAATTGATTGAATGACGTCAACACTTCAAACGGCTAGCAGGTCGGCGCTATCCCTGAACAGTACTTCTTCCTTACCCTGATGGCTGCCCCAGCACCAAGCGGTTGACCACGAGACCAAGAGCTACTGCCTGCGTTGGCAACACTGCTGCAGGATCGAGCAAGGAGGTCTTCCCACCTCCATTGCGCGCCGAATGTGAGAAATGGAGGGTCAAAAAAAAACAGGACCGAAAAACAAATGGCGGGTGAAATCAAGAAAAGAAAAAGAGGGTAAAGAAAAAGAAAAAGGACAAAGCAACAAATGGAATCCCAGTGTCGTATCTCAGTTGGCACGCAAGTGGCATTCAGGAGGTCTCATCTCAGTTGGTAAGGTGTTCAAGCGGCACTCAGGAGGTCGTGGGTTCAATTCCCATTGCCCCCACGATAGTGCCTGTGGCGTGCTTGGCGTCAGTTGGTAAGCAAGTACGTGGAAGCTCTGTGGCAGAGCTCCGTGGCGTCAGTTGGTAAGCAAGTACGTGGAAGCTCTGTGGCAGAGCTCCGGTGTTGCAACGGGAGGTTGCGGGTTCTACTTTGTCGGCCTACAATTTCCCCCGAGCACAATTGGTTGGTGTAGGTTGGCAGAGCTCCGGTGTTGCAACGGGGAGGTTGCGGGTTCGACTTTGTCGGCCTACAATTTCCCCCGAGCACAATTCGTTGGTGTAGGTTGGCAGAGCTCTGGTGTTGCGACGGGGAGGTTGCGGATTCAACTTTGTCGGCCTACAATTTCTCCCGAGCACAATTGGTTGGTGTAGGTTGCACACCACGTATTGTCTACCGCGTGGGCGTGGGGAACGCAGCCCTAAGGTAGCCAAATCAATGAGACTAAGAGCTTGCACAAGAAAGAGAGAGAGAGAGAGAGAGAGAGAGAGAGAGGGGAGGGGGACTAGGGGGTGAGAGAGAGAGAGAGAGAGAGAGAGAGAGAGAGAGAGAGAGAGGCTGAATGGCAAAATTGAAATATGGGTCAAATTGCAGCCGCAATCTATTACGCAGTCGGAATGATTTTTTTAAATTTATTTAGCATTTTCCCTGGAAAGATCATAACAAAATCTACGAGTACTCCAATTTTCAGAGTTTTTCACACATTCTTCTGAGAGTGAAAACTCACTGAATTTGGCCCACACATGGCTGAGTGGCAAAAATGGAAAGTGTGTCGAATCGGCGCGACGACTAGTTCTCGGTCTAAATGATTTTTTTATAATGTTCTAATATTTTTCCTAGAAAGAACACGACCTCATCTATGGATTCTCAAAATTTCAGATTTTTCTGCGGGTTCCTCCGAGCACAGAAAATTGTCAAATCTGCGACTTGCAAAACGCCTGTTTCGTTGCGCCTTACCTCCCTGTTTTGAGAAGACGGGCTTCAACGTCTGGGCCTGAGGGCCCTTTTGCAGTTCACATGCCCTCACTTTGTTTTGGGGTCCGCTTCCACCCGTGGACCCGTCCAACGCCCCCCACTTCTTTTAGGGGTCCACTTCCACCCGAGGACTGGTCCTTCCTTTTTCCAAAAGTCCCGGTTCTACCAGAGCTAGCTATAGGTAGTCCGCAATTTTAGCAAGGGCCGGTTCCCCAATTTTTTTTGCCCCCCTAAGAACCCACTTTGCATCCTGGTCGCCCGCCGCCAAAAATGGGACACCTTGACACAGACGCCGAACCCCAGTAGACCGCAGCCTTAGGGCTGCGAACTTTCCCCGAGCCTGGCATAGCGCCCTTACAGACTAATGACCTCCTATGAAACCGTATGAGCGCACGTAAGCGCGAGAGCGCGCGCTTTATCCCCCCCCCCGCGCTCAAACCGCTCAAAGGAAAAAAACCTAGGCTACCAGCCGGGCGGCCCGGGTCCCGGGTGGCCAGCCCGTGCACGGACCAGGGAAGGTCCCAGCAAAAAACAAAAAAAAAACAAAAATCTAAAAAATCCAAAAAAAAACTATGTTATGAAAACAAATAAACTGAACAACTTTTGCCTCAGGGTCACATCGAAATTCTTCACCAATTTTAAAATAAAAAATAAAACTTTAAAATGTTTTTATTTTTTATTTTATTTTTTTAAATTGCCCGGTCGGGCAAGTGACCCCGGGCCACTCTGGTAGCCAA